GAAAGAAACGTTTCATTTTTCTGTGCGCAAAGAAACGATCTTTCTAGCTCGAGCGTTTATGTAGGTTATGTTCGACCGAGAACGACGATAATCCAAGCAATTTCGTGCGAATGAATAGATGAGAGAGAGAGAGAGAGAGAGAGAGAGGGAGAGTGGTAGAGAGACAACGAGAAAAGAAGAGAGGGATGAGAGGGAGACGGAAAGACAGGGACAAATAGAGATATTTTTCAAATTACTTTGACAGGTGCTAGGTTGCACGCCGTCCAAGGGTACATTGCCAACAGTGCTAACTTGAAATACAAAAATTTACAATAACAGTACAGTAAATTCTCCACAAATGTCAGTCCGCAAGGAACCTAAACCTGACACTTGTAGAGTCAGGGACTACGTTTTCGAGCCTCGCGCCCGCCTTTGTAGTTTGCCGAACGTAGACAAGGACAGCGAATAAAAGATAAGGATGAAACGTAAGTCGAAGCAACCAAGCGATTTAAATACCAACTTTTTTAATTTTACATTTTTTTATCCCTAAATTTTTCTTAACATATTGATGAGATTTTTCTGATAAAAATGACATCAAACACAACATAATTTGAACATTTACTTATTAACACGTTCACTGTCTGGTGTGACAGTGAATAAATAAATGTTGTTCAAATTATATCGCGTTTGATCTCATTTTCATCAGAAAAATCTCACCAACATGTTAAAAAAAATTTCAGATGAAAAAAAGTAAAATTAAAGAAATTATATTTTTCTATTGTGAATTGTCGAGCCGTGAAATCTCGTAAAAGAAACCGAGTGGTGTAGCGTTACACGCTTGACTGACAGCGAGCGAGATAACATAGGCGCAGCAATGACGCAGCCTAGGCGTAGGACCATCTATACTGACACTTGTAGAATCCAAACTAACTGACACTTGTAGAGAATTTACTGTATTCAAAATTAGAATGAAGAACAATTTTTTATTACAGTCCAAGAATGCACCTTTCTATCGGAAAAAGAAGTATTGCGATATCTTTACTAGTTTAGCAAAAAAAAAAATGTTTAAATATCGCTTATTTTTCGACCTATCGAACTATATAGATTGCCCCCTTAACGCTCGCATTTTTCTCAACTTGATGTGCCAAAAATGATCGATTTTATTTTTTCTTAATCATTTCCCAGACGTATAAAAATAAGTTTCCCGTTTATTCATAATGCTGCGAATTACATTTTTACAATAGAATAGAAAGGGTAGCGCGATACGAAATGTGAAAGAAAATAATGTAGGAGGTCAATGACCGGAACGGGCCGATTATACGTTCGAGTTCGTTTTCGGAAAAAACCCCGCGACATGAATAGGCAAACCCGTGGCCTTCCGACGTTCGTTGTTATTAAATAAGAGCGAGTGTGTTTGCCCGAATGCGAGTAGCAGAGAGAGAGCGTGAAAGTGAGAGAGAGCGAACGCGAAGACCTTATAAATAGGGAAGACAATAACAAGAGTGGTCCTTTTCCTGCGAAGCGATAAAGCGTTAACAGTGTTCTTTAAATCTTTAATTACGTTTCTGCATTCCGTTTCCTACAATAGTTAAAGAAAATTGCACTTTTCGAAGGATTAGTCGTGCACGTGCAAGACACGAGCGTGAGCGTTAAGGTGTTAATTCCCGAAACAATATCCTGAAATCCAAACACCGCGACAAGCCAATATCTTGAAAAATACTTCTACCAAGGAGACCAACCTGCAGAAGCTCATCAAGCCCGTTCCACATCTGTCGGGAAAATTGCATTGCAAGAAGAACGATGGAACACGGTCTCTCCAACGTCAAACGTGTCTCCACCTGGTACTTAATTATGCGCATAATTATAACGAGACATGCGAACTGGAAAAGTCGGCGCAAAGCTTCTGTTCGCTCGAAAAGGAGAGGAAAGGAGGTGGAGGAGAGGCGTTATCACGGTGGAAAATGAAGTTTAACGAACCGCAAGTTGTTCGTGAAATTTCTACAGACATGCGAACTGGAAAAGTCGGCGCAAAGCTTCTGTTCGCTCGAAAAGGAGAGGAAAGGAGGGGGAGGAGAGGCGTTATCACGGTGGAAAATGAAGTTTAACGAACCGCAAGTTGTTCGTGAAATTTCTATGTATCTGAGAAACACATATAGAACGAAGAGGTGGAGGAGGAAGCGGAAAGGTAAACTCCTCATCTTCGTTGGAAAAAAGCCCATATGGTGTCCTCGAAACTTTTGGGCAACAACGAGAGCTGCCTAGCCAACGTATATTACGGTACACAGGCGTGTCTGAAGGCAATAAACCAGTTTTACCCATCTCACCCGTACCCCTCCCTCTCAGAAATTGCTTTTCAGGTATCAACGATGCTATACCGACAAATGGTGGTCATCGCTAGGGTGGTAGATATTAAATGGCCAATCTCATAACCGGTCGAGGAGAAAAAGTTTCGGTGATTCGAATTTTCTCGGATCGATAATGATTAAAGGGGATCTAATCTGAATCTTGTTAGTTCAGATGATGGGAAATAGAGTTCTACCCGGGATCAGAGTATACGTGTGCTAGAAGTGTAGTAATGGTTCCGAGATTAACGAACTGTGGGTTTCCCCTTCATTAGAATCCCTTGGTAACATCTTGTATTTACATACCTAACCAGATAAGGAAACTGATCTCTGTTGGATGTATGCAGATGGAGGTGCAGTGTGTTCAGAACTCCTAAGACCGTGGCGCTGATAATCGTAACCTGTGCAGTTAACTCTCTGATGTCGTTATGGAGTTAGTGAGCTGGATGTTGGAATTTCAAACAGAGTCTGAAATATTGCAAAAAGTTGGTCTTAAATTCTACCGAGGATAGTCAATCTTATCGCTTTACTAAATTCTTCAGAATATCCTTGAGGAAATAGAGATATAAATGAATTATCACGGATTAACGTAACTCAGTATGTTGTGCCTATCAGATGTCCTCTTAATTATTCTTGATATCAAATTAATATAGGTTATCACAAATTAACCTAGCCTAATATTTAGTATTAATTATTTGAGTTTATTCTATTTGTCCCTAGTGTCCAACAGAAAACTAAATTAAGGGAGAATTCTAGTGCCTAGCCCTGTCGATCCTAACTATCAAACATAGCCTAATATTTGATACTATTTAAACTTCTTTCTCTTACTTATTCTTAGTATCCACTTGGTGACCAAATTAATAAACACCTGTCATAACTAACCTCACCAAATCCTTCAAAATTGACTTAAAAAAAATATATATATATACACAGGGTGTTTCCGAACTGGTGATACAAGCGACAAGGGGGTGTTTCCGCATGCAAAAATAAGTCGAGAAAGAAGAATAACATTTTCTCGTATCGAGCTTTGTTTCCGAATAAATCAGTGTTGAAGATTTACCAAGTATATACGCGTATACTGTCCGACAAACCTAAAGTGAAACCTCTGACGTCACAGCCTAGCAAAATGGAGGCAAAATAGGCGGTTCAGGCCATCCCCACTACTATTGGGTCTTACACTGCAGGCGCTTGAGGGGAAGTTGCGTTGTAGATAAATGATTTAGACAAACGAATTTAAGTCAGCTGTCGATAATGTAATACGCTGATAAAAGAACGGAAAACTAAAAATTATTTGGTCGTCTTGTCCTCTTACCTATGTTGGCGCGTAAGACATATTTAATAGCGTAGACGTTAATTTTTAAGCGACTCATACACAATAAATTGTTATTGTAAAGAAAGCCTCAGGAAATGTATTAATATTTTTTAACAGTTAGAAAACTGAAATGTAAATATGTTTTCCCTATTCCTGAATAATAAAAGTAGATTTCGGCGCATTAAAAAATTGCT